GGGGGCGCCACAGCGCCACCGACGGCCCGGAGGCCGCAGCGCAGGGCGCGCGGCCGACCCCGCCCACCTGCTCCGTTCCGCTCTAATTGATTACCCAGGTTGGGACAGGTTTCCTGCTTCTTTTGACATTTGATTTTCAAACTTCCAGCTTTAAAGAAGCTTTACGTTTCGAATGTACGGGCTTTGCATAAATGAACCTAGCCGGATGCTGGTGGCTCACGCCTATTAGCCTAGCTACACCGGAGGCTGAGATCTGAGGATAGCGGTTCAAAGCCGTGTTGGGCAGGAAAATCCCTGAGATCCTTTATCCCATTCACCAACCGGGGGCTTGGGCGGGGAGGTGGTGGAGGAAGCGGAGCTGTGGTAGAACGCTGGCTTTGAGCAAAAAAAAAAAAAAAAAAAAAAAAAGCTCAGGGCCAGCGGCCAGGCCCGGAGCTCAAGCCCTATGACCGACAAAATACGCAGCTGGAAATATGTATTATTGAATGGAAGTGGACAGCATTTTGAGAATAAACGCTTATGTCTGGGCTCTTTCCACTCCAAATTCAGCTGCTTTTAGCGGCAGAACAATTTACACACACATTGTTGTGAGATTCTAAAATGCAAGAAATCTATAGTTGAGACAGTAGGTATGGGTCCTCCCTCCCCCCTCCTCCCTCCTTCCTTTCTTCCGTCCTTCCTTCCTTCCCTCCCTCCCTCCCTCCCCTCCTCACGCCCACCACCCACCCGCTGGCTTGCTTTCTTCTTTGCTTGCATACTTGCTTGCTTGCTAACTTGCTTTCTTGCTTTCATGCCAGTCGGGGGGGGGGGGGTGCTCTACCAATTAAGCCACAGCGCCACTTGTGGCTTTTTGGTGGTTAATTGGAGATAAGCGTCTCATGGACGTTACTACCTAGACTAGCTTCAAACCGTGATCCTAGATCTCAGTCTCTTGAGAGCTGGAATTACAGGTGTGAGCCACTGGTACCCTACTTGCACATACTTTTTGATGTTTAAGTTTGTTGGGAGATAAGTTATATCAACGTGTACCCAGATTTGGGGATGGGTTTACACAAATCTTTGGATTTTGAATTTAAAACGTGTTCTTCCAAGTAAAATTAACTCTAATTTTATTTTTTAAAATGCATTGACATATGATCTTACTAGGCATTCTTTTTAAAGCAAATTAAAACTCCATGAAGAAACCTCTTCCGAGCTAAGAACAGCTTTAGGGCTACAAAATATTGTTATATTGCATTATCAACAGACCCAAACTTTATCCTTAGGATTTTCACTAATCTTAACCATGCTAAGTATCAGTGTGGAGGCAAAAGCAATTGAGAGCAATCCCAAGTGATCAGATGAAAAGCTGAATGAAAGAGAACATATAAGAGCATGAACTGAAAAGAATAGAGAAAAGCATAAAGGCCTTGCCAATTTCATAATGCAAGTGATATGACTAAATAATTCTTTCAAGAGATTACTTTGAAAAACTATGCCAGTCTGGGTACATTTATAATCTTTGCTCATGAACAGCTACATACATATTTAATAATGTTTAACAAGAGGCTATATTTTTAATGGGCTTGCATAGAGCAGAGGTCCCTCTGTGTGAAAACACATTCAAATTAGTGAAAGGTAATTATGCTAAAAAGAGATTCCCAAGTTATGCTCTGGAGATGATGACTCTGTGACCCCGCAGCTTCTCAAGGGATCTGTAATAGCACTGACGCATTTGACTTTTTTTTTTTTTGGCCAGGAAAGAATTCAGTTGACTTACAGTATTAATAAAAACCAACATGCAGTGTTTTGTCAAAGACAGGGCTTTAAAAAAGTAACATAAACACTGACTTTTCTTAAGTCAGCACGAAGCTGAGCCAAAGTAAATGATACAGTGAAGGTGGGCGATGGATATCTGACTCCCTTTGACCAAGTTACTCAAAAATTAAGTGTGCTAGGATAATTTCCAAACCTGCCAGTCTTTCACCACCTTCTGATTCCATACTTATCCCCATGCCTTCTCACTTTAACTCTGGGGTTGGCCTTATGATTTCCTTTGAGAAATATGATACAAATATATGTGATGCAGTAGATGCTAGAAAATCAGTGAAACTGGAAAGCATGTTTCAACAAGTCCATTGGAGATGAAAAATGCTTAGGGCAGAGCCATGATTGAATTCTCTCTACAGCCTCTGATCCTATAGGTCGGGAGTGGGGCCTTAGAATTCCCATTTTTTAATAGTAAAAAAAATTTATATTATTAGCAAAGAACTATCTCAAAATTCATTATCACCCAAGTTGAAATTTTAGTATAAACTTGCATACAAGTCACTTTCCACTATTTATTCTACACACACACACACATATGCATACACACACACACAGAGATCTGGCATTCAAACATGTATTCTAAATCATTATGTCCAAATATAAATAGTTGGGGTAGTCAAACTTCTGCCACAAGTTATGAAGGGGTTACAGATGGAAGATGTTCTGAATTATGTAGTAGAAGGAAGGAAGAGCATTGTTTAGTTTTTATGTGCAGATATGTATTTTCCTATTGATATAGGCAGACTTCAGTAGACAGCTGTCAAAATGGAAACAGCTGCAGAGCCCAGATGAAAGTCTACTTTATGTTGGCCACAGGAAACTGGTGATCTCAAAAATTTTAATATATCTCAAATTAAGGTAAAGTGGTAATAGCTAAGCAAGCATAAGCAGCTGTTAAAAATCCACAGTGAGGACTGGAGTCTCGGGAGAAGATCAGCCTCACACTCGCAGTCTGTACTCTATGAGGTATCTAACCCAAGATGATGTCCACTCTATTTCTGTTTCAGAATGCCAAGCATCTACCTCTCTCTAAGCTGCTGGCTGTGCCTTGTCACCCAGCTATGTCTTGTGAACATCACCTTCTGGCTATTTTCTCCCATAGCACACAGGTGGCCATGAGCACCTGTAGCAAGTAGCACAGGTATGTCATAATGGTGAGGTGTGTATCAACATGAGAAGGTAACAGGGTTGTGGAGTTGGAGGATTATTTACTACATTCAATTTAATGAATATTATCAATATATTTATTCTCAGTAATAACTGTTTAAGATATTAACTGGTGCTAAAATTTAAGTATCTTGCCCACCTCCATTCTTTCAAGTATTTTTTGTTTAATTGAATATGATATATGAATAGAAAAGCTTACAAATCCTAAATGTATGTTTTGATGGATCTCCACAAAGTGAACATACTCACATACCAACATGAGGAAGAAGAATGTCACCAGCACTTCAGAAACCCATCAAACCTCCTCCCATTCACTGCCCTTGCCCTTCCCTGGCGCATTAGTCAACTTTCTGTCACTATAACAAGGTATATGAGATAAGCAATTTATAAAGAAGAAGGTCTCATTTCAGAAGTTTTGATCAATAGCTGATAGCTCCATTGCTTTGTGGTTCATGTCAGGGCAGGACAGCACTGTGGTATGCCAGATCTGCTCATCTCATGGTGGCTGGGAAGCAAAGTGAGAGAGGAAGGGGCCAGCAAATCTCAATATTTCTTTCAAGTTATAACTCCAATGACTTAACTTGCTCCCACTGCCCCATCTCTTAAAAGTTCCACCTCCCAATATCTCTGCTGTTTGAGGATCAACTCTTACTTAATATGGGCCGGGGAAGAGAGGGGCTTTGGGGGCATTCTATATCCATACTCTATTGTCTGGTAACTGGTTTTTGTTTGTTTTTGCTTTTGCTATTGCTTTTTATTGTTCTATTGCTGTGTATTTGTTCTTTTGGAACTTACGTTTTATATGTCATTCACATCCATTAGTTTTGGTCAATTATTCACTTCCTTTGCTATATAGGATTCCATTGTATTGAGAATTGAGAGTCCTTCTGTTACCATAAATTTCACTGATGGAACTTAGAACTGAGATCATCTGTATTAATATTACTGCTTTTGTTCTCTGGAAAATTCTTACCAAGGAAAATATCATTACAGACTAAATTTCCCTGACTGCATCAAGAAAAATGTTCAATCCAACTGCTACAAAGCAATGGCCATTTATTAAGATAAGAGTTTATACTTCATAAAACTCATCTCCAGGAAGTGGAGGAGTGGCTCAAGTGATAGAGCACCAGCCTTGAGAGAAAAAGACACTGAACAAAAAAGCCAAGGGACAACACTCAGGCCCTGAGTTCAAGACCAATACTGGCACACACACACACACACACACACAAACACATGCAAACACACACACACACACACACACACACACAAACACATGCAAACACACACTATTGGAAAAGAGATCAATTTGTGTTTTGTTTTCCCATATCTGCATAATCCTTATCTGCACAGGAAGCCAACCATATTTCTATGCTTTTATAAAATTCTAACCAGAAAAAGAAAAAATCTTAGGCTTATTAGGCTAGAGATGAGGTTCAAGTGGTAGAATGATTGCCTAATAAGTATGAGGCACTGAATTCACTTTCCAGTACAGCAAAAGAAAAAAATTATAGGCTTGTCTGTCCCATAAGTATAATGACTGTATTATGTACACAGCAAATCTTTCCGTTGAAATCTAAGTATTTCCTGTTGTCGCATACTTACTTTTCTTAAGATTCACAAAATGCTGACAAGCGAAATATGGCCTTGCATTTGTTGACCCCACAA